CATATCATACTTACATATCTACAAAAATCATAATTTGAAAGGTTTTTCTTTTAAATATAGAGGAAGGAAAAATACTGAAGTAAATCTTTTTCGAGGTGAAAGGTCTATATACTATATTGTATAATAGATTTTCACGAACGCGCGCTCTGATTGGCTGAAAAGCTATGTTTTATCAGAACTTGACCAATCAGATAGCCATAGGTCGCGTTTTTAGCCAATCATCGCATAGATCAAATTTATTTACGCGAGTTTGACGACAGACGCGCGCTCTTTTTGTAAACAAACATTTATTTTATTTTATKTTTTAAATTTTTACGCTATTTTTCTCGTGAAAATCTATTATATAAAGCGAATAGATTAGGCTTAGYTATGTTCTGTTCTCTGATAACACACTCCTGAAGCTGTAGAACACTCAAAAATTTAWAGAAATCACTCGCCTACGGCTATTTTTAAACTATAGTARGGCTCTCTTCTGCAGTATATAAACCGCGTTTATCAAAGTACATTTCTACAARCTTTCCGCACTTGACTTCGGAGTCTAGGAATCGAAGCTGAGACCCTTTATGTGACTGCACTTGCGTTACAMCACCATATTTATTCTACATAGACACGTAACAATGTCTGAATGGTTGAGAGGAGATCTCTCAGAACYGGTTTCAAGGCGATCGGATCTTCAGTAGTTAGAGCGGTGTGTATTTTACCACGGCGAGCTACAAGTACTTGGCTWATCCTATCACTGACGTCTCTCAGGTGTGCCACACAGTTCTTCAGTAGGTCCGGTTTTTCTTTGTTTTCTGGAGGACATGAAAAATTGTTATCATCATTCAATGACGTCATTGCCATCATCTTCATCGCTATCGTCATCATTCACTGACGTCATTATCATCCTCTCCATTGTCATCAATATCATGATCATCATTATCATCATACACTTCTAACACCATAACATTTCAAACAAACATTGTTTATTTGATATATGTGAAAGAGACATACCTTTTTGGACTTTCAAGACGACACTGCTGACCTTCTTTACAATGACTTGCAAAACATTACACGCCATTTCCACGTGACTGAAAGACAGAACCATTCTATTAGTACAATCAGCGAAAATGATCTCAAGGTGAAAACTGGATCACATCTCTTACGTGCATGTGAAAACGCTTTTATGTTTCCACGTGAACACCAGAATAGTCAGTCGCAAGTTAGTCCAGGGCCCAGTTGTACAAAGCCTGGATAGCGCTATCCAATGGACAAATCTTATCCGGTGGATAAATTTATTGTGCAACAACATCGACTTATCCGCCGGATAGCGCTATCCAGGCTTCGTACATCCTGGCCCAGAACAATAAAGGTATTCAAATTGGTCGCCATATTTCGACTCGGTGTRCAATGCATCTTACCTGGTGTGTCTTCTGGACGAGATGAACACCTTTAACTCGGGCAGCAACAAGTCGCACATACTAAGTGACCACGTTGAGCTGAAAAACAAAATAACAGTTTTCCTTTTGACTGTGAAGGTCAAGGGTGGATTGCGCTATCCAATGGATAAATCCTTATCCAGTGGATACGATTTATATCCCTCGGATAGCGCTATCCACCATTCGTACGACCGGGCCCAGATAAATAAGACTATGCCTGCAAAGCATCGCTAATTATCTCGAGCTACTTTAAATTTTAGTTGCCCTGAAAACGTGTTTTATAACATTTACACTCTAATATTTCACTTACCAACTGCTTGGTAACTGTTGCAGAATGTTTAGAAAGAGGGTGTTGTCCTTGTTACCCGTGATGTCTGGATTACTAACACACTGCATTCCTTCTGCTGCAGTAGAATCTGCTGCCTTAATCCCAGTCAATTCCATACACATCTTAAGTGCCTCTAGTTGTTTCTTGGCTTTCCAAAGCTCGTGGACTCGAAGAATGATCTAAAAAAATCGGTTAGAAACAGTTTACTTTGAGAGCGCTTTTATGGAGATTTTTCATCATGATTCCAGAACACTCTAGACACGCAAAAGAGAACGAATTCACCCTTCTCAAAGTYGTCTTGAATCACGAAGCTAACATGGAAATACAAAAGAAATCCCACAAATTCCATCGAGAAAAAGTGTGATTTCTTTTAATTTGTATTTACATGTTGGCCTCGCATTCACGATACTAGAGAAATTTAGCAGCAAGACGCGACCATCGACACACTACGGCGCGAGCGCATTTTTTCGTGCGTGCGCAGTAGGCGTCCTGGACAGGGCGTAAAAATGCTGCAAACGGCGTCCTCTTGAGGACGTCAACCACGTTGAGGACGAAAATGCGCTCTTGCCGTCGTCTTTTGACGTTCGCGTCTTGATGCTATACTCTACTATTGAGAAGGGTCCGTCACTATAGGAACCCTTTGTAATTTTTGGGACTTATCATTATTTATCTTACGACTTACCCATGTGCGCTGAGATAACGAGTTACACACATCTTTATGGTGACTCTCCATCCCTTCTAGTATAATATCCTCCTATAACACCAAACCCAAAATTAAGGATCGCATTCAAAGTATAGATAGAATATAGATAGAATGTTGCCCAAGTTCAATCGAGCTCGTGTGATAAAGGTGCGTCCTGAAAGTGGGTGCGTCGTACAGACTTGGTAAAAAGAGAAGGAAAAAGAAAAAGGGGGCTGCAATGCTATAGTGGGGGTGGAAGGCGCAAAAGAAGGTATATTTTTTCCGCTAAGTTTTATCTCCACTTGTTTAAAAATAAGATCCCTTGTTTGAGTTGCATCTATGAAAAATCTCCGTTAAACAAAAAAGTATAGTCAAGAGAATGCGACGTGGTGTTACGTGGCAAAACATTACGCCAAAGCGTGATTGGTCTACTGAGTGCTATAAATAACTGACCACTTACCTCCGAGAGAACAGGACAGGACATACACTTATTATTTCTTGCTACCCTTCTCCTCGTGTCTGCGCTTGAAGATCTTTGATGTACTGTTCTCAGCAAATCAGGTTCTTGTATCGCGGTTATCCATCTTTTACGCTCATTCTGCTCTGATATAGATCTATGGTAGACGCCGCTTTTCGGTCTTTCTCCATGTCTTCTTCCTCTTGGCTCAAGTACCGGCGTTGTGTCGAGATCTTCTCTTTCTTCGTCAGTAGAAACGCGAGGATTATTCGAGTATCGTTCGAAATTCTGTGGAGCATCGTCTGTCGAATCGGAACCAACCACGAAGTAACAGTAGCCTTTGTGAGGATCAGAGCCACTGGTGGTGTTAATATAAGATGTGTTAACGCCAGCTGCGTCGCTACTAGAGTCTTGATAACCGTCCTTCGTACTTCTAGCAGAATCACCCCCATCAGAAGAACGAAATCTTTGTCCTTGTAGAAAGCGTTGAAACGTTTCTTCAAATTTTTCATGATCTCTTAAATTTCTTCGAGATTTTTCTTTCTTGATTTCTGTCCCTTTTGTATTCTCGGGTCGTCCGTCCGAAACTTGTTGATTATTTGAGGCAGTCATAAATAATTCCTTATTAAGTAAGCCCTCAAAGCCTTGTTCTGGTGTAGTATAGTACGCTAATGGTATGTCAGGATCAAATGTCAGATAGTTAGATTGAGTAGGAGTAGTGTACTGGGTTTGTAGATGTAATACTTGTGAAACAGAATTGATAATTCTGTTAGTAATATTCACGTGTGTGTCGTACAACCTGATATGAGGAGACTTAGAAACAGCAGTTTCTTGGCCACCTTCTCTATCTCTTGTTTCTACTTCAGGCGAAAGGATCATTGTTTCAGAATTCCCCGAGTTATCCTGCTCATTGCTTTCCATAGATTTAGATACAGAACTCGAATCGGGATTACCATTTGTTTTCGTGATTTCAGAATCTAAGGTTGCATGTTTCGAACTCGATTCATCAGTTTTCGCATCCTCAGTGACCAACATTTCTGTAGAGCATCTCTTTTCTGGATCTAAAGTTTCTTGAATCTGCGTTTTGATTTGACCTGAAATATTCTGCAGCAAGAGAGAATCTTTTGGAACATCTTCCTGCTCAACCATAGCACCAGCGTCATTGTTCTCTGGAATTTTAGGGATTTCTTGGTTTGATTTGTCGACTGTGACGACAGAATTTTCTTCGTCGTCAAGTCGTTTAACTTCAGTCTTGCTTTCAACTTTATCATCGTTTGATGCTTCAACTAAAATATTCTCCTTTTCAACGGTTACACAACTAGCATCCCTACATTTCTGGTCACCAATATTCTCATTATCAGTAGTAGTCAATAGTTTGCCATCCTTCGATTCAACTTCGACTGAAGAATTATCCTCAATAAATTCCAACTTAATTTCAGCATGTTCTAAAGATGGAGTTCCTTCGATGACGTCATCAGCAATACTGCCTCCTGAATGGACAGAACCACCCGTACATTTCTGTCCCTCGTTCAAATTATTATCCAAGTTTTTAAACTCAGTTTGAGTTGGTTTTCCGCATTTCTTCAAAGCAGAGCAAACTATATCCGCTACGATTCGTTTAGCTAAATCTGACGGTATATTAGTAGTCGTAAGACCATCTGACGAGTCTCGTCTCAAAGTAGAGTTCGTTTTGAAGGTTTTCTCGTGTTCTTTATTCAGAATACAGTTATCGCTATTCTCGACAGACGAATCTTGGAAATCCTCTGGTAAGGCCAACGATGGCATTTGTGAAATAGCGGAAGGCGAGCTAGTAACATCTTCTTTAGAGGTCAAATTTTCTTCCACTCTTTTTCTCGCTTTTCTCTTCTTCTTCTTTTTCTTTTCTTGTATCTCTTTGCTACTCAAATCCAAACATTCAAGTGAATCTACTGACATATCGCTGTCAGTTACACTGATTTTTCTATCGGTAGTTTCTCTATTTTTTTCTAGATTTTCAGTACTTTTATCTTTTTTAACAACTATGTCTCTAGCTCCTTCGTTTTCCTTGTCTTCGATGACTTGCGCGCGCAATGATGACTCGCTTCCACCATCGTAGATAAACTCGCCTTGACTGTCACCTTCTGTGTCAAAGCTTCTTACAGAATATCTTTTCTCCTTGTTCTTTTTATTTTCCCTCACAGGAAGATGAATTTCCATGCTTGTATTTTTAACTTTGGTTTTTTGTTCCTCATTTTCTTTCTCGGATATATCATTTCTGTCTTTTGAAGCTTCTCTCTGTTTGCGATCTCGTAGCAAAGCCGCGTTTTTCAGCCGATGTCTTGACATGCGAGGCGTGGCTATTATGTCAGTCTTGTTTGATTGACGGCTGGTGATGTCTGTGGAACTTCCTTGTGAATGACGGTAGAGTTGCTCTGAGTCGGAGGAATACCCTGCAACAGAACATCAAACTTTGTTCCAAATATATCACTATATATTTTTATTAAAAAAGAGCTCGAGATCCGTTTTGACAGACATCTTGGAGCTTTTCGTAGTGCAGCTCAATGTGGAGGGGAAAACAGCAATATCTGTTCTCCTTTGCTCCCTCCTTTGCTCCCTCCTTTGCTCCCTCCTTTGCTCCCTCCTTTGCTCAAACTGCTCCCTCCTTTGCTCCCTCCTTTGCTCCCTCTTTTGCTCCCTCCTTTGCTCCCTCCTTTGGTCCTTCCTTTGCTCCCTCCTTGGGTTCCTGTTTCTTCCCTCAAATCATGAATGAACTCCCTGCGACTGCAATATATTGAATGGCATTCCCTCGACTGCAGTTGGATGGCTTTTTGGTGGCTTTGTAGTCGAATGGCTTTTCCGCGACGGCAATATGAGCGGCTTTTCCGCGACTGCAATTGAATGGCTTTTCGGCCTCTGCAATTGAATGGTTTTTCCTCGACGGCAATTGAATGGCTTTTCATGCTATTGTTAAAGCTATCTGAATGACAACCATACATTCAAATGGCTTTCCAATGGCATTGAAAATTCAAAGTAGGGAAAAGTTGAGTCTACAGCACAGTAACCAGTACGTACGAGCATTTTGGGTTTATGTAGAATTTTATTATCTTGCTCGATACGTACCATCAGGGGGTTTGAAGCGTGTTCTTTTAGCTTTTTAAGCAACCAGCCAAACCGTTCATGCAAACAAAAAAACCGATAGTATCTGTGTCAGTCATTATTCGAGTAATAATGTACTGAAGATGAGAGAATATTCTAAGAACCTGTTTATATTCACCTCTTGTTGATAAGCGATCCCTGGATGCGGATCTTTCTCGTAAACGATCTCTGAAACAAGAAATAGAAAAATGCATAGAAAATGATATACCCAAAGGAATACTATTGCGAGAAGATGACAGTGATGGTTGATAAGTCCATCATCATTGTCATCACCATCATCGTCAATCATCATGATTGCACACAATAAACAAAGAAACTTTGGGTCTGTGATAGAGATTAATGTAGAGTGTGATCATGATGAGCTGTATTACTGGAAACAGCCAAGTTAGTTCGATATAATATGAATGAGCAACTTAATTTGGAGACTAGTGAGTCATGATGAGAATGATATGTAACAATCATGATGACGATGATGATAATGATGATGTTGAATGATGAGGAGAATGATGATATGCAACCATCATGATGACAATGATGAAAATAACTGTTGATGATGATGATAACAATAGTGATGATGATTATAACGATCATAATGACGATGATGATGTTGAGTGATGACGAGAATTAAGGAGGATGACAATGATGATGGTAACAATAGTGATGATGGTTATAACGATCATGATGACAATGATGATGATGTTGATGATGACGAGGATCATGATGACAACGATGAAGATAACAATGATGATTATAACGATTATGATGACAATGATGATGATGATGATGTTTAGTGATGACGAGGACCATGGTGACAATGATAATGATAACAATAGCGATGATGATTATAACGATTATGATGACAATAACGATAATCATTATGATATATATAGTGTTTTCTCAAGTAATACCTGTCTCGCTTTGATGGTCTTATGCAGCTAAACAGTCGACTAGCTTCGTCTTTCTGTAGTGCCTTGGCCTCTCTATTCACCATATGTACTTTGATAATATTCATGGTCTTCGGCAGAGCCTGTTCTTGTAGGAACATCAGCATCTCCTTACACTTCGTCACATAGTTATTACAACCTCTTTGTATGGTAATATTCAGATTAGCCGTCACGTTGCTTATGGCCTGGGGACGATTGGAGCATTTTTCTCCAGCCTTGAGTGCCAGTTCCAGACCTCCTCCATCTTTCTCTGCAAAGATCTGGAAAATAGTTTTGACAAATAAATTGAAAGACAATAAAACTAGAAGTTTTAATTTGCCGTAAAAATAATCAAAAATTAAGGTCTCAGAATCAAAAAGATAGTCTAAAATAGGATCCTTGTTGCTATAGAAACGTTAGTTTATCACAGGGACAAATAATAAGATAAAAATTGACAAACGCCGATATTTCTAGAGGGAAGTGAGAGATACAGATCAGCAATCCTCAAGAGCTTGGCATGGTACAAAATCTTGATTGCACTCGAGTCTTTTGTCGAAATTTTTTCATACTTCACTATAAATTATTAAAGTGAAGTTGCTAATAGTAAATAAAAGAGAAAAAATACAGGATATGATTTCTAGAGAAAAGTGAGATATAGATCAACAATCCTTCCTAGTATCGACTATGTACAAAAGATGTGATGTTATTATCATGATTTTAGTTAAAAATACCCAGGTGATTATTGAAAATCTCGCGCGCTGATTGGTCGAGAAACTCACACGATCATACGATAATCACCTCCATCGATAATCCAAAATGGCGGCCAGCCGCTTTGTTGCTGTTACCGGAAAAAATGTCTTTTATCTTCTTCTTCTTCTTCTTTTTTTTTTTTTTTTTTTTTTTGAAAGAATCACCTGTGTATCTTAAATATTATGTTTATCGCAGGTCAAGGGATTCATGGCTCGTATCTCCGATCTATTTTATCTATTTTATTATTATCAATAGCCACATCATGACGTCATATCTTAGGACAACCAATAGGAAGGGCGGAATTTATAAGAGAGTAATAGATCTTGCCTGGAAATTGAAACCATGCAGGAAAAGAACTATTGAGATGTGAATATTCATCTACCGCGTATGATAATTTGAAAAAGGAGTCGAATTACTCGCGCCTCCTTATTTCATCTTAAAACAAATTTGCTGCTTAAAATTTAAATCTATTTGCACAGGGTAAATTACGAGGATTTGAAAAAGTAAATAGGAAAAAAAAAAAGGAATAAATATAAAATAAGGCCGTGATATGTTAAGGTATTTTGTTTGGTCAAATAATTTCTTATGACTACATTTTCACTTATGTCGAATTCTCAAATTTATATTGAAATTTTTTGACAACATTTTTGGTCTAAATTTAAAATAATTAAACGAAAAATAAATGAATGGAAAAATTATGAGAGATGGGCTTCCAAATTTTAAGGACAGCGCACATCATATCAGGTCAGTATCAATATAATTATTCACTTTGTATAAAAAACATTTAGTTGTAAAAAATATTGTTCGTGTTGTTTTACTAGTTAACAATCAGTGATATTGTTTGAGTTAAAAAAATACGATTTTGAATTATCACAATTCCTCGGAATAAAAGAATAAACAAACAGATTTTCTTTTAAAAAAATCTACAAACGTTTCAATACTCAAACATCATTTTACGAAAACATTATTAACGATATCAGATAACTGCCTTATTTTCTTTTCTTTAATACATTTAGCAATTAAAAAAAACTATACTTTGGAAACCGATATCACATTTTGACAACTAATTTCTAGAAAAGAAAAAAACAATCTTTTTCATAAATTATTAAAGTGATCCAGTTATCAATAACACTTTTTAGCAACAATTTCGTACTCAGGCCGATAATTTAAGAATTATAAATTTTATAGTTTGACTGATGGGTTTTTCATTTTTTCATTTTTTCATATTTTTTTTCTTTTTTTCAACCTTGCCATCCCATTTGTGAAATTTGGCAAATATTTGAAAGAAAAGAAAAGGAAAAAGGAGGCGTAAAAGAACGAACGAACGAACGAACGAACGAA